GGCTGTGCTATAGGTAGGCTAGATTCGTAATTTTGTTTGGCTGAGGGCTAACCGAGAGACTTACCTGTAGGTAAAATTTGTGAGGGACATATCTGCAAATTCGGGAAAAATACAGGCCCGAACTAGCAGACCGTACCTACAGTGACCCTGACTGCAGATAGCAGACCCGGCCTACCGATAGGACAGACAGGCCCTACGGGCCTAAGCTGATAGACGGTCCTATAGCCTATAGTCGGGTAGGGAGAGGCCCTAGAGGCCGAAACAAAAACGGTATCGGTGAGTCCTACCAGTCTGGTCTAGGTTGAGTCTAGGCTAGTGTAGGATATAGATAGGATGGGTACATCGGTTCAGGGCTTTTTGGCAGTTGGTACTGTGTGCGTCGCTGCTATGCAACGCATGAACTGGAAGTGGTGACAGCTTCAGCCATGGAGGAGACAGCCATAGCTGGACCTGCGGAGTGTCAGCCATAGCTGGGTCTAATGCTGTACTCTGACAGCACGCAGGGCTGTTCATAGGTCCGAGCTATCTGGAGTCTGCTGGAGGTGAGAGAGTTGGTACCCTGCTGGACCCTCCTCCAAAGTAGGGTTGCCGGGTGTGTGGCGCTGCAGCCATAGCTGCAACCTTCTTCCTCGGAGAGCATCTTGTCAGGAGAGGTGGCGCTGCTGTAGACTTCCACTAGGGAAGTCATTCGGCACTCCATCATCATCTGACACTGTGGCGCTGGTCTTCTTCTTCATCCTCTGAGAGGCGCTTGGCCTCAGAGGCCTGTTTCAGGATGGCGCTTCCCTCTGGAGGCAGTATCTGGGTGGCACTTGATGTTTCAGGGTCTCAGGGGGTAGTTTAGCGGTTACTCAGGGTTGGAGAGTGAAGCGCTGGTCAATTCTGAGCAGCGCACCATTGTTCTGGGATTGTTCTGACAATTCGAGACTCTGAGGTTAATAAACAGTATTGATACTGGGTTCAGACTATCATTGTTTCATTGCTTCTCGGATCTGATCTGCTCGGCTTTCCTTTGTGACCGGTTGTGAGGATTCAGTGGAGCGAATTGCACTTTCAGTGTTTTCTGTCATATCGCATGGGCAAGTCTTCTGCTGTGTTTATCTCCCTCTGTGCAATGTTGTGATACTCCCATCCTCCCATCCTCTCCCTTCCTTTTGTGTATGTATGGGCATACCTGGAAGTCTATGTGAGCGAGTGTTGGTCATCTGACAACAAACAACCAGGTTCATAACACACACACACACCCACACCCACAGCACACACACACACACACAACACACACACACACACACACACACACACACACACACACACACACACACACACACACACATCCGTTGAGGAGGATAGATGCGACTAGGGTCGGGACCGTACTAGAGGTCGTGCCATTTGATGTCCATGGCTGAGCAGGTGTGCAGAGCGGGTTTTATGGCTGTGTCAGAATAGTTTTTCAGACTTACTGTCATTCTTGTCAGCAAATTGGACCAACAGTCTGCTAGGATTTCATGGTTGGTGTGAGTAAAGTCGACCACTTTTCTCAGGGGCATCGCTAACTCTGGGTGAGTCAGGGCGATGTGGTGAATCCTTATCCATCAGTCAAATGCATCCTGGGCAGACTGTCGGGTTCAGCCTGCTGATGAGTCGGTGCAACTCCGACGAAACAATCTTTCATCACCAGCTTTTATTTACTTTTTTTCGGTCCTTCGACAGTCTTGGGACTTGTTTTTTTCTGGTCTGTCTGCTGGGTGTGCTTGTATGGCGTTTGTCCTTCTGCCTCCCTCGTGCCCTCCAGCATTCGTCCTTCCCTGTCCTCTGTGCTTATGTATTGTCTACCCTCCCACCTCCCCCTTGCCCTCCAGCCTATATGTTCCTCGTACTTTTCATTCACACTGTATGGCAACCGCTCCATTTGCACAGCTACGACGCACTCTAAAGTGCCTCAGCTGCACCGCATAACTCGTTCCATGGTTGACAGACTTCATCATCCCTGCCAGGATTCCGTAGTGTGCCGGCCATTATGCCGGAGCTCAGCCAGCCTGGCGTGCGTATGAGCACACACCCAAAACACACATCATCATATCACACACACATATACACGCACTTGGAAAAACTAAACAACAACAAAAAACGCACACCATGATGTTTTCCAACTCGGAGGCCTGCAGCACATATTTAAAAGCGCAGTAGCTCCTAAGCTTATTGTAGTGGACAGTGTTCGAACACTGGATCTGTTTTTCAACAGTTATATGCATGTCATTCAAGCACCAGTAGTTGCTAACTTTTGAAAATTCTCCACCCCTCCCCCCATCCCCCCATCCCCCACCTCCCTCCTCGTTTCTACAGTCTTCCAAGTTCTACACCGCCTCGCGTGCAATAATTGAAACTTCTAAAGCTCAGTGGGAATTGACTTGCAAGGGCATACTCAGACTCTGACTTTCCTCATACTTCCCTCCTCCCTTTCCCCTTCCCCTCCCTCCTACTCCCTTTCCTCCCCCGCCCGTCCTCCCCTCCGTCCCCCCCCCCCCCCCCCCCCCCCCCCCCCCTCTAACCTCCAAATCCTTCTCAGGACCAAAACACAAGGAGTCACGAAGCCGACCTGGAAGTCTTCTGCTTGAAGGCGACGCCTTACTGATGGAGCGCCAGTTGAAATTCCCCCTTGGGGCCCTGCCCCTGCTACAAGTGTTCCAGCAGAGGGTAGGGTGGTGTTTGTGCCCGGGGCTGACACTAGAGATGGAGCAGAGGAACCCAATTCTTGGAGCCGGGCGGCCAAACGAGCAAGTTCAGCCTCCTCTTCTTCTGCATCCTCGTCAATGTCGTCGCCATCCTTTGAGATTTTCTGGAAGCCCCCCAAAAAAACAAACAGGAGTCATCCTCCGTCCAATCCGAACAAAATTACGAATCCCACTGTTTGCAAAGTATTGCATAAGGTGGGAGTTACATGTGCGGAGCACCTCGATTCATTACAAACGTGGGTGAATTTCGCTAGAGGCATGAAAATGTACACGCACATGTGACAGTGCAGTGACCCCCCCCCTCCCCCCAACACATTTTGTCCATTAACCACCAGTACTTCCAAGCCTCTTTTTCCCGATGTCAATTTTCTGCCGCACGTGGAGTTGTTTGCACGGGGGCAAAATCATGCTTTTTGTCTGACGCCACCAGCCTTTCCGGTCCGGTAGTCTGAGCCCCGAAGAAAATGGCCGCCACCATATGGCCATGTCAGAACAACAGAGTCGGGAAAAGTACTGGTGATAAAATGCCATAGGCGCCACCACACGTTCGGCTTTCGACTTACCACCTCTCCTACACAGGCTCCGACACCAAATGCCGCCTTACACCAACCCATCCCACCATGCTTTCACCCTCCGCTGCACTCTCCTCGCACATTCATGTTGCTGTGGTCATCCATAGCACTGTTGGGAGGGATCGCCCTTCCAATTACAACTTCTACCGCCCTGCCAAAAGCATCGCTGTTTTCCGCCAACCCACTCCCAATGCTTTTTCTCCAACCACTTTATACCTCGCGCACATACCCAGGTTGTTGCAGTCGGTTGCTGCCGTCGTTGGGATCAAACGGGATTGCCCTTCCACTTACCACCTCTGCCACGTTTCCGACCACTGCACGCCACCTTTCACCAACACATCCCAACACCACTGCACTCTGCTGGCACACCCGCCTGTCGCAGTTGGTCCATGCCGCCATCGGGATCGAAACACCACATTCCGCCTGCCCATCCAAACACACTTTCTCCAACCACTGAACTCTGCTGGCGTTCGTGCGTTGTTGGAGTTTGTCCATGCCGCCATTGAGAGGTGGTTAACGGAGGCCCAAATTTTCAGACAACTTGTCATGCCATTTATATTATTTTATAATAAAATCCAAGGGTCATTTTAATCAAACTTCCACCAATTCCTAGAGTGGAGACCCTAACTAATTGCAGAAAAAAAACAAATTAAATTAAAAAAAAACTATAAAACAGCAAGGTAAAGGTACACTCTCATGCAGATTTCGCCAACATCCAATTTCAGAAATCTTGAGAAATTTCAGAAATCTCAGCAGAGGAAATTCCAATGCTCCAAATGAGACCAAATTTGGCACACAACAACCTTGAACCAGAACAAAAACAGGCAAAAAAAAAAAAAA